AAACCATTTCAGGTGACTACCTCTTGAAGCTCATGGAGAGAATGCCAAGAGTGTGCAAAGCAGTAATCAGAGCAAAGGGTGGCTATTTTGAAGAAACTAGAATATAAAACATGTTTTCAGTTATTTCACCTTTTTTTGTTAAGTACATAACTCCACATGTGTTCATTCATAGTTTTGATGCCTTCAGTGAGAATCTACAATGTAAATAGTCATGAAAATAAAGAAAACGCATTGAATGAGAAGGTGTGTCCAAACTTTTGGCCTGTACTGTATATATATACACTGCCTGGCCTTGTATTTGCTCTTTGCACTTAAATTGGCAGAGAGACGGCTAAGACGATCTCATATCTGTCCATTTCCTATAAGGCTACAGCTGCTTAGCTTAGCTTAGCTCAAAATCTAAGAATTTGGCATGGTTTTAATGCCTCCATTAATGCACTTCACCAAAATGCATATGAGCGTATGACATCATCTGGTGACTTGTAGTGACTGTTGGAGCTAGTGCTGGCTGGTTACGCTGGTTGTGTTACATTTTTCTGTACATTCATATCCTGTGCCTGGTTTGGTGGCCAAGCAATGACATTTGGACAAATTACTCAAGATAAACAACAAAGATCCATGACTTGGAGGAACCTAAAGGTATGTCCTGCTGTGTAGGATGGGGACGCCATCTTTGAGATCTGCGCTCTGTTATCTCTGTTACCAGAGTGTATGCACTCAGTCCATAAATGAGATCACAGTGATGAGGTATGTGAGCGGAGGTAGTACATCAGATCTGTAATCCAGCCCTGCAAGCTCATATGGGTCTATGTTGTTTAACCTGTGTAGTTTGTCCAAATACCATTGCTTGACCATCATAGCAGGCACAGGTGTCAATATGAAAGACCACAATATGGCTTCCACGTCCAAAAATGCACACAGCGTGCGTCAACATCATATTCTCTGTAGACGTAACCTGAACACGCTCTTAACAACATGGATGAATCACTTCTCACATTTCTCGTCACAGCCTTAAAATATATTTCCAAGCGCTTCGTGGCAGGTCGGCAGCCTCTGCAGCCTGAGCCTCTCATCTGATCCCCACCTCCATCATCCCATCCAACCCCCCACTTCCCTCGTCAACACCCTGTCCCCCTCTTGGCACCAGTCGGCAGGGCCTTCGTGACACACAGCGATGCCACTTTGAACTCCTGTATCTCACTCTCTGCCAACCACTTCCTGCACTGCACGGTACAGAGTATGCCACACGCGCCGCGTCACACACATATGCACACCGCCGACGCATCACCTTTGTCAATGCCTCTGCACCACCGCTCCCACACACACACAGACACACAGTATGAATGAGATAAGGAGATGAGGACTGCTAAGATTAAACCACAAAATTCTCTGTCATGATATCAGTGCTGAAATTACTGGTAGAAAATATGAGGGAGGGTGAGTGAAGGGAGTCTGTAACCCTGTATAGAGATGACTGGATGAATAATGCACCACAGTCTATGATTTATGCATGAGTATGCATTTGTATTGAGGTATTCCTACCAGTAATCTGCTGTGTAAGAACAAAGGGTAAATTCGGGGTGAGCCAGCCTATATTGAAAAGATCCAGAGTCACCGAAAGAGCTTTGAGATTCAGTTATTGCATCTTCAAAGAGTATGAGTATATTTAATCTATTCATTTCTGATATTTGAAGTGATACTTCAGTAGAGGTGTGGTTATATAGCATCCTGGCTTTAGTGTAAATCCACATTTTTTTTGAACATACTGTACTTATCAGTTGCTCCCAAGCGCCAAGTCTCTTTATTTCACATCTCAAATGCAGACATTTAGCTCATAAACTAAAAGGCAGAAAAAAATGACAGCTTGTCGTCTTGTGAGCGTGTGGATCTGGTGTTGGATGTCTACATTCTCCACCTGTGATTGTGATAAATTGAAGCTTTAACACAACACAAGCAGTCATGAAATTACCTCTGACTGAGGGCTAAGAAAGCTGTGCTATTTTTTTTAGATATAGATAGACAGATAGATAGAGAGATAGATAGACATCTGAGAGAGAGATTTTTCCTTTTTGTATCAATTGATCATCAAAAAATGTCAAGTATCAGATTTGGATTTATGTTATCTTTATTCAAATATTCTTTGTGCAGGTATTTCCTCATCAAAATCAGGAAACTTTTTAACTTCAGACTGCGTTTTATTGAGGAAACATTCAATATTTGAAAGCACGACATTTGTACCCTGAAGACAAAATACTGTCTCTCTCTCTGGTGTTTCGAATAGTTGACGTGTGAAATGTGCAAATGTGTGAAGCTGGCTACTGTAGCTTTACTAATTCATACATGCTGTTCTGCTGACTGGGCTCAGGTAGTTATGTAATCATGCTGAGAACAAAAGTCAGCGCACAGCTGTACATCCAACATGCATTACACTCTGCAGCACCAAACCTCAAATCAGTACAATGTGTTTTTTAGACTTTTTCTTTCCAAAGACAGGTGCAGTGAGTCAAAAAATCACTCAGTATCTCATGTAAATGTAAAGACACAGAAGCAGCTTGCATGAATCAGGAAATAAATAAGCAATTTAAATATGTCAACTTGAGCTTTGGAAAATTGCAACTTGCATCTTTCACTTTTTCACAACATTTTAAAGAACACCATTTGCTAGAATAATCATAACCACATATGAGGTAATGAAGATAACAGTCCTACATAATGCTGTTTCTATGAGTGTTTTTATTATTATGAGTGGGATGGTGCTATTTTGGCTTTTCACAAGATTTTACTTCACAAGAAAAGGGAAAGATATGAAAAAAGGTGTTTTTGTTTTTTTGTCGCAGAAACATGTTTTTTTTCTCATCTTTCCCAACTTGTTAATCATCTTGTGACCCCTTTGGGTAATTCTGACTCACAGGCTAAGATAGTAAACTCTTTTTTTTGTTTGTTTGTTTTTACATTTTTAGGTTTTGAGAGGCAATAATATTAAATCATGATGAAGTCTTTATTAAAGGAATACTTCACCTGCAAAATGACCTTTAATATATCAATTTAATTGTTGGAAATTGTTGTTTTTCTTGCATGCCTCCGGTTAACGAAGAATCCAAAAACGGCAAACATTGCAGATTAATTGAAGTAAACGGGGACCACGTTTAACAACAGCAAAACTATACCTAAACACCTGTTAACAAACTCTCACAAAACTCATCCTGTATAATCCAAGGTTTATTTACCCAGTCGTATGCTCAGTACTTCCCAAACACACATTTCATTAATTTCTAAAGTTTGCTGTTTTTGGATTCTTCGCCCACTGTTGGCATGTGGGGAAAACAAGACTTTCCTCATGACTGAGGATGACATGGCATGATCATTTTGTGGGTGAAGTGTTCCTTAAAATAAGTTAGACTGTAAACTAAATTGTAAGGAAAAAAAAGACAGCACAATGAGAGACAGACCAAACTAACATAAACCAAGACATCGCTGAAAACAGTCCAAAGGTTCAGCAAACCTGATAGACTGGGGAAGAAGATTCAGAGCGTTGGGGCCAACAGCAAATGCGCAAACACTTGTTTGCGGTTGGAGCAGGGGATGGACAAAAAGGCCGAGATTTGATCGAGAGGATGTCATCATGTAATTTGTGATATATTCCTTTAGATTACTCAAACTAAATAACATATTCTAAATACTTTGGATTACTTTCAGAGTACTTAAAAATCGTCTTTGCCCAGGCCGTGCTTCTCCTCTGCCGCTGTCGCGTGGCGGGTGCACTGCACAGACTTTTTTTTAATCTGTTTATGGGAAACGCATGCCGAATATGAATTTTTCACCTCGTCCTTGCAGCAAGCAAGCGTTACTCTCTGTTCACACTGAAACTGTTAAATATGCACTTCTGTTATGTCACAAACAAACCACATAGGCCAGGCTGTGCACTCCACTGGAGGCATAACCTCTTAAAATGTGGGTGAGCACTTGCTGTCTTTTTACATTTGTACTTTTTGAACAGAGAGCACACATTTTATATTATGATATTTACTGTAAATAACAGTATAGGTTGTTGATCTCCCTCCAGCCAGCTGCCACCTATTCAGGCTTGTGTAGTTATATAAGGAGGTCACTTGTAGATAACTCATTTCAGCTTTACAAGTCAGCTGCTCCTCATTCATTGTGGCGCTTTTACGCAAGCAACAGGACGGAACAGAAACAGGGCGTTCTAGAAAAGTTAAGCTCAAAAAGGCAGCACTGTGTCACGCTGCTGCCAGGTAAAGTACTGCCAGGTACATTTTATTATAAAAAAATGCAATCAAACTGATTCTCGCGCCGCATTCAGTTAGGACACGATGTTAAGATGAATAAAACAAAAACAAATAAAGTAACTTCTTCCAGTAATCTATTTTTAAAGACAGTGACTGTATTTGATGTACCACCAATTTAAACTGTTACTTTTATAGAACAAGTGTACTGTGGCACCGATGGTCAGCTCTAGCTAATAGCTAGCTGCTTCTCTGTAATGGTCCTTTCAACCGTTTGACTCACCACTCAGCACTCTTAGCACTGATTTTCTCCACTCAGCCTGATTCTGATTCAGGTTAAGCAGCAAAAACAATCATCAACAAAGAATCAATCACCGGGCATCTTTTGCACAGTGGATGTTCAGCTTTAAAAAAACAAAACAAATCCAACCGCACGTGACGCGGAGCCATTAATAACCATCTCTGTTGGTCTTAGTCTGCTCTGTCAATACTGCCCTTCTCCCATTAATCCCCATTAACATTGTAGGCAGTAAAGGGCAGCTCTAAACGGCGTATTGATATTATATTAAGGCCTGGAGCTCCCTGGCGTCTGGGCTGTAGGACGGCAGTCTGCCCAGTTTCACACTCGGCAGTGCAGGACTGCGTTTTGGCTGTGCGAGTGTCTGTGAATGTGGGAGTGTGTTGCATATTTCAGGGATTAACTCAGCAATATGGCTGGCTAAGTTTAGGATGTATTTGGGTGGACAATATGTTTTAGAAAAAGTAGAGTTAGTGTAAAATTAAATATTAGCGCTTTATTTCTTTTCCCAAGTGAGCTTGGATCAGAGGCAAAGACAGTGAAATTCTCTCATATTCATTAAACTCAAAGCCAGCAGGGGCTGCCTGGAGCGCCTCCAGAGATTTTGTGTAAAAGTATGATGAAGATGGCATTATGATGTCTGCAGATTTAGGTCAAATATTGTTATGAAACGGCACAAAGGAGCATTGGAAATCCTGCAGTGTGTCCCTCTCCAATATGTCAGAGGACAGAGGAGAAAGACTGTCATTTGTACAAAGCAAAGGTCAATCCTGATTGAATTCTCCTCTGGGGGTAAAAGGGCAAAAGCAGAAATACAGAAAATATCATGAAAGGGAGCCCAAAGGCCGGGTGCTGCTCCGAGCACGTCATTTATCTGCTTACTATTCACTTAACTCGCAGCTTTATGCATTTTAATATCCACCTTTCTACTTTTTTTTTGCTCTTTGGTATCTAAAATTATTATCCCACTGGGGGAGAGACGGCAGTGACTCACGCTCTAAAAGGCTGGTGGGAGATCCAGCGGTGAAATGCATGCTGGTTGCTCTGACTGCTTGTTGGAGCAGCTTTAATTGAGCACACTTCACAGCGCAGGCTTACACTGCAAGACAGTGACTGAGGTGTTTTTATTCTCCCTCCCCTTCCTGTAAAATGTTCCGTATTTAGCGTTGATCACCTTTTCACTCCTGGAGCACTTTCACTGAGACGATGTCATAGCTCTGCCTCCCTCCAAACTACCGGTGACATCAACACAAGCTATTGGATACTTCTTTTTTTTGACTCCGCAGTGGTGGATAAAAATGATTTCAGTGCATGCCTGAAGCAGCGTGTTAATATATTGATGAATGTAACATCGATAAACCTCCTCCCGCTCCTTTGTCACACTCTGTTTGTTGCTCTTTCATCCCTTTCTTTTCCTCTCCTCCCTCCTCCTCAGGCAGCCTCTCTGTGAGCGAGGTCGCCGGGCTGTTGGAGCAGGAAACCCTGCAGCTCCTGAAGAAGGAGTGTGGAGGCCTTCAGACACTAATCAAGAACAACCACCAAGTCTTCAGAGGTAGGTGGACCACATGCTTTATATACATTTTCACAGCTAGTCTACATAAAAGTATTTTCATATGTGTGGTTAAAGCCCCACTCCAGCCATTGCTACTTCCTCTTTTTCACTTAACGCTCTTTCTAAAACAGAAAATGGGGGTGTGGTTACTTTTTGGATGTAATCCATTACCATTGCAAACAGATTGCTGCTGTAGTTTAAGTGTCAAAGCGATAGCATGGATATTAGCATGAACCTCCGCCCGCAAATGAACGGGGAGCTCTGGGCGTTGGCGGCACAGGGGCCAGCCAAACTCCATTCGTCTGCACACACTGCAACGACACAGTGCTGGTTAAAAATCGATAATGTTTCTCTTTACATAGCGTACTGTTGTCTGTAAATGTTAACTTACCCATGGATCCAAAAACTGAAGAAGCAATCACAAAACGAAAGCTCACTGTCTTTTTTTGACTCACACAACCCTACAACATATGTCAAAATACAAGGTAAGCTGATTAGCTCACGACTTTGCTGCTCAGACACCAAGAGGCATGACAGTGCTGATGCTCGAGCTTGGAGGATGACACGTGACCTGCAGCTTCTACTATCTTAAAGCGACATTGTCCGTTTTAGCAACAACCTTCTTTTTTAACACTGAGCACAAAATTAAGATATTTGAAATATATATATATATATATGTATATATCTTGCGCCGCTTTCAGACGCCTTTCTCAAGTATTTAAACCTTTGAACCCTGAACACATCAGTGCGATTTCTTTCAAAAAATATATAAAATATAAAATATGCGAAAAAAGGCAATGAGTAACTTGGTAGGATATGTCCCACAAATTGCAAAAAAAAATACATAATTTAATTCGAAAATTATTTTAAAAAATAGGGAAAAAAGAAGACAAAAGTTAGGGGAAAACTATATTTATAATTATTTTTATCACATTTTGAAATTATGTTAGAGCGTTATTGTAATTTTTAAGCACCCTTTCCATGTCATTTCGTTATTTATTTTTAAAAAATAAATAATAAAAAACTTTTTTTTTTTTTTTTTTTACTTCACTTAACTTTGCTTTCTTTTTTTTCTTTCTTTTTTTAAAACTAATTTTCCTGTTTTTAATTATTTGGGTAATTTCTTCTTTCTTTGCTTGTTGCCTTCTTCCCATGTTTTTAAAAGAAATCAAGCTACTTTGCTCAGGTTTCAAAGGGTTAAATGGGTACTAGGTTTTTTTTTTTTTTTGGTTTTTTTTTTGGCAAGCTTTGAGCCACATGTCATGGTCAGCAGATGGAGTGTCTCCTTCAACCTCCCTCTTCCCCTGTCATCTTCCTACTGCAGCAATACTTAAGCCCATATCTGGCCCATGATAGGGTGCCAGGTGGCCCACCGACCATTTTCTAATACACAGTATCTGATACACAATGGGATTTTTTCCATCTTTGAATTTAAATAAGCTGCCAGAGTGCATACAGACCCATTAAAATAGAGCTTGTTTATCAAAAAAAGAACCACACGAGGATCCCCCGCACCCACCTACAGAGATCTGGGCTAAGCAAATCCTAGAAACACCCCTGTGTACACCTGACCTGTGTAGGGCTGCTGCGGCTGGATATCCCTCTTACCAAAGATGAGTGAAGACAGCAAATGTAGAAAGGTTGAAATAGTGGCCCCAGGCAAAGCACGTTGAGTATCCCTGCTCTACTGTCTCCCACTGCCCCACAGAAAAGTGAGATATTATCAAACACAGTTCTTCATATTTTGCACTGATGATTCAGCCTGTTTTTGTCTCTATAGTATGCAGAAAATAAACAGGTTGTTTCCTTCAGGATTCCCAAAATAAGTCCTCCACTTTGCTACTCTATAGAAACAGATTTATTTGTGACTTTTTTTCATTCCTTCTCTTTCAGTGGAAGGAGGCAGGGTGTACATACGAGACTGGCGGGACAGGAAGTCCTCCAGGGCGGATACCCAGAGGAAGCCAGTTGCCCCCGGTGCCCTGAAAACTCGCCCCTGCTGGTTCTATGACCACCACCCTCAGCGCTGCCCCCTGCAGGCTGAACACTGTGGCTTCGCCCATGGACCTGACGACCTCCGACCCTCGACCAGGCCTCTGAAGAAGATGAAAAACAGTGCCTTTTGATTGGCTCATTCCTCCTCAACACTCATTTAGTTAGTAGATTTTTAAATTGAGGAACTACTTTTCTAATTAACAGCATTCACTCTGTGAATGCAGTCTGTTGAACCTCCTGGAAAAGTCTCGACATCCAGACCTGCAGCCACAGACAGGAAGAAGCTCAGGCCAAAGCTGTGTGAGTTTTATTAATGCCATGTTTCATCATTTCTGGGAAATGAGGTTTTGAAATTTAACAGTGTCCTCTGTCTTCTGTGTGAGGCTGCCAGAGTGTGATGCTTCCTGGTGCAGCTTTGGGTTTCACAGTTGGAGTCCGCCTACTCCTCTGGGTTCGTCTGCTGTAATTTAACTTCAAGGGATTCTTTGTGTCTTTTCATTTGTTTAAGAGGTGGACTTTAGTTAAGCTCAGAGAATTGTACACTTACTGTGTATTAAAGAGGATGTCAAGCTCCATCTTATTATTTATTTAAAGATGATCAAATCTATCGTGGATTTCGTTTTTGTCGAGCACTTAACTTTTCCCTCCACTGCAGCAAAACTTTAAAAGCTTCCATATACTTCACTTAGACACGAGATTCACCTCAGACAGGTACTTTGAGGCTCACCGGCAGGGCGGTGGATAAAGACCGGGCAGCGTTTGAACAAAGTAAATGTTAGCAGTATGAATTATTTGTTGGCAGGAGTTGAGGGGTGAGCTGCATGTCGTCCCCTCTGGACGGGGGCTCACTGCTGTGTCTCTCTAACACAGTGTGCCATCACCCTGTGGCTCAAATGTCAAAAACAGTAAGGCCCACTCAGGGACTGCAGCGGGGTGATGGGAAGCATCTCCTCTGGGTTTGTTTGTTTTTGTGAGCAACAACAATCAGACCATTGATGCAATAGAACAGACTGTTTAAATCTATTGGATTTTGCCGTCGCATACAGATTGAAAATGTGAAGTGACAAAGATGACTATGAATAATGTTAGCGTCTTTTTTATTATCACGGACCTGTCTCACAGGTAGTTTAACAGGGTGCTGTGTGCACTTTTCTGACATTAAATTATGGGATTTTTCGACTTAATATCTTATACTAAGTATCTCATAATTTGACTAAAAGGAACACTCAACTGATTTTCAACCAGCTTTATGTCATAACAGTGTGGGTCCACCTGACCAGCGCTCAGATCCATGCTTACCTCTCAGCTCAAGTCCATCGGATGACATGTTTCTTGTCTTCTGTGTTCTTTTTTTTTTTTTTTAGCAAAAAAGTAGAATTAAAAATTAGAAGAGAATTACCTGAAAATTGGCAAAAAAAAAAAAAGTCCAAAAAAAAAAATAAATTGTAAAACCTACTAGAAAAGTACCTGGAAAATTAGCAAAAATAAAAAAAAGCAAAAAGCACAAGAAATTAATTAAATAAAAAAAGTACAAAAAAGAAAATACCTGAAAATTGTAAAAAAACAAAAAAAAAATTGTAAAAAGTACAAGAAAATTAACTGAAAATTGGCAACAAAAAATTACAAAAAATACCTGAAAATTGGCAAAAAAAAAAAAAAAAAAAAGTACAAAAAATACCTGAAAATTTAAAAACAAAAATCCTAGAAAATCAACTTAAATTTTGCAAAATTTTCTGGACATATTTCCCTAGCTTATTTTTAATTATTGTTGTCATTGTCATGCAGTTTTTATGTTCTAAATCTTATGCTTTCTTACAATTTGCAGGACATTTCTTGCCAAGTTTCTTATTATCTTTTTTTTCCCATGTTTCTGAAGAAAATCAAGCCGACAGGGTTAAAAGGTTTAAATACTTGTGAAAGATGTCTGGAAGCAGCCCAAGAAAAGTGATGCTGATCCAAGTTTGACAGGGTTAATTGTAATTCAAGATCATTTATTACCAGCTGGGTGTTACATTGTTTCCTGTGTCAAAACGGACAAGCTCGCATTATGTCACCCACTGGTGGTAGCGTTAATTGGTCCGGTGTGGTGCAGTGCATTTTGGTAGTTGTAGGTTTCCTACCTGTTGAGCAAAAGCAAATGCCACATTAAATTTTCTGTTGTCTCTGGTTATATAGCACTAATTTCACAAGTATTTGCATCTTTCTATGGCATAGACAGCCCAGTTTTATGAAAAGACCACCTTTCCAGCAGTAATAAAGATACTCTAAAGAAGTATTATATTTTTGACTTACTATGTCATAATTTTGATGTAAAAACACTTTGTTTTGACTTATCATCTTATGCTTAGGATCTTACAATTTGATTCAAAAAGTCTAAATTTTGTCTTATCTCATGGCTGTTACTTACTAGCTCATATTTTTGACTTAAAAACTATACATTTAATATACTGTCTTATACTTTTGACTTAGTACCTCATCATTTTGACAAATTAAGTCATAATTTTGACTTGAGTACCTCAGAATTGTACTTCTTTTTTTTTAGTATCTTATAATTTTGATTTTAAAATACTATATATTTTATTGATACTTATTACTTTGTACTTCTTACTTAGGATCTCACAAGATGACTAATTAACTCATAATTAACTTTTGACTTAGTATCTTATAGTTAGTAAGTTAAATCTATATTGTAGTATCTTAGAATTTTGACTGAAGTCTGAATTTTTACTTATCTCATTTTGGCTTAGTGTCTTAACTGTCTATACAGTCAAAATTTTGATGTTAAATGTTATCATTTACAGTTAATATTCCCATTTACAGCTGACAGTTTTGTCATTTTGTTTGATGAAGTCATTCTTTTGACTTAAAGTCCGTAGTTTTGACTTACTGTCTCATAATTTTGTCTTTCGCTTATAAAGTAAAAGTTTTATCTGGTAACTTTGGTACCTCATAATTCAGATGAACCTTTAAAAAGTGGCAGCATCCATATTGAAAATCACTGTAAGAGCAGTGAGTCCTGTCTCAGGCTGTAGTTGTTTATCATGTGCACTGAATCCATTCCTGTGTTTTCCTGTTCAGAGGATAGAAGTCTATATCATGGTTGAAAGGGACGCTCTAGGGTCAGTTACATATTAGTAGACTGGATGTCCTTGTGTCACCTGCAGCTCATTGCCTGTGTCATTGAGTATTGATGAAGACGCACATGTATTACTCAGTCTGACCACAGCTTCAACACATGGAGAAGAAATAAGCTCCATAGAAAGCTAATAGTTTATCTTTCAGGACAATTTCCTGCTGATGAAAGGCCATTTAGACAGAAATGATGCTCCAGCTGTGATGGACACAAACTATAGTGCAGCTGAAAATGAGTGTTGTGGTTTGACAGGCAGCTCTCAGTCATAATGTGCACGGCTATGTGTGGGTTTTAATGACCTCCTCAAATCATTTCTCCCTCTCTCGACCTCCCCTCCACATGCCATTATGCTTCCAGGAAGAAATCAATTCATGAAAATACTCCTGCCGCTCCAGGTCTGCAAAGATCATCCGGTGCAATCGACCTACTGCCCTACATTTAACTGCAGACGAGCGTGACGTGCCCGGGCAGCGGAGGTGTTCACCTGCATTATTCCCAGCTCCACACACTTGCAGCCACTCTCGCCGTGACCTTGTGACCCAGGCCCTTTCTGACTGCTGTTCAATAAGCCATAATTATGACTGTTTATGTCCGCCTTGCACCGCTGCCCTGGAGACCAAAGGACAGCAAGAGCAAGCAATATTACCCCTCACACACCTCCATCACTCCATCCCTCCCCACACTGGGGAGGGGAGTCTCCCTCCCCCCTGCCCTGATGTAAACACTGCTATTAATTAGCATATATGCTACCAGTGCTGTGATTAATGAGCGGTGATGCTGTAGCACAAAAGCACCTGGTTATGGTCAGGAGAAGATCATGTTACCTGCTTTTGGTGCCACAAACACAACTGGAATTGCAACTGATGTTTCGCTAAAAAACACCCACTTTTGGCAGGACTATAAAAGGTTTGTTGTTTGTTGGTCGCAAGCAGTGGTCTGCAGCTTGGCAGCAGCGTCCCATCTCACCTTTGAACGTTTATGCATCACGTGAATTTGTACAAATGTAAAAATCAGTGATTCACAGAACGTACAATGCCGATTTTTTCTTCTGGTTACTGGGCTGTAATTGGCAGATAAGAACATGTCTTGACATTTACCCCAGAAGAAAAACCCACAGTTGCAAAATTACATCACTTTTAACTATCTCTAAAAATATATATAATGGTTTAAAAAAGAAAAACACACATTTACATAGTCAGTGGGCCCCACTGTTTATCCTTGCACTGCTATTGGATAGTAAATGTGTCGTAAGGTCCGGTCATCTGGCCATGAACTCACACAACCTGCAAACTTTTGTTTTACTGGACTGGATTTGTTGAGATTTAAGTAAGTAAAATGTCTTAAATATTTTTGTAGTGATTATTACAATGTCTAGAACATGAAGATATTTAGTTATTGTGGAACACATTTATCAAATTTGATTTACAGCTTGTTATGTCTGTGTTGCAATTTTACATACCTGAGTCAGAATGGTAGTAAAAATAGCATGTGCACCTGACACTTGTTCACATATGGAAAAAATACCAGTAGAAATATAATACAATTTCCCCAAAAACTTAGTAAAATGTGAAAAATTAAGAACCCTTTATTTTCTGCATCAGAGGCCTCCTACCACATCTGAAAGGTTAATTATTGTTCTCATTTAATATTTGGGCTTTACAGGGTTAAAACTGGGTTTCATTTGGTTGAAAAAGAAAGTTTGTTAAATTTCAAGGTTGCATAAAGCTATTATTGTAATGACTATTTCAACATCTAGTTAGAACCTTTTACACACTGAATTATAGTCATTAAAACGCTTTTGAAACAATGATTATATGTAACCATGATGTGAAAAATGTCCCACTTTAACCTAATTTAGTCCAAACGTCTAAACATCTTTTAAACAATCAAATATTAACCAGTCAAATTATTTTCAGCAGCTGAATCATCAAAGTAAATGTAGTGATCTTAGACTGTGATAGATACAATACATAGTCTGCAATATGTAAATCTGAGCTTTGAAATAGTAGTATGAGAAAACCAACTCAAGATTCAGCTGCTAGCTTTTTGGAAGGCTTTCAACCATATCACATGGTAGGATAGGGATTCTTAAGCAGTTTGGACCACCCCCGAGGAAGTGTGCGGGACTTTGAAGCCAATTTGACATCGTGGGCAAACCATGGATGTATTAAGAGACCTGAATACAGCATTGGAGGCTGGACCCTGTTCATCCTTATGAAAGTTGCTCAGTGGCGCATGAAGCCAAAAAATGCTCTATTTCTGCAGTATAAAAGTACCTGGACAATCAGTGCTGCTTTTGCATCATTCGGCCTGTAGAGCAGGCGTACCAGAGACTTCTGTTGACTGAGCAGAGTAATTCTGGTTTAGCACTCCGCTAACTTGAATGGGGATAAATGAAGGGCTTATTAAGTCAACCTGGCACATGGTAGGTTCTTAAAGTAGTCCAGGAAGGGCTGCCACACCTTGTAGTTTTTTAATAGAGCCCTGACTATGATATCTCAGCTCTTCTAGCTTTAAGTGTGCCATCACCTCTCTGACCCAACAGGCACGCAAAGGTGGAGCCCTGTCCTTCCACTTCAGGAGAATTAGTCAGCAAGCCAGAAGGGACTCAAAAGCCATGGAGTTTGATTGTCTACTTGGAAGGGACGAGCCTTCTGGAGCTACTCCAAACTCAGTTGCAGGGTACTGGGTGGTGTATTACAACCATACATGTGTGAAAGAGTTTCAAATATAGATGACCAAAATGGGGCAATCAAATGACAGGAGAAAAACATGGGGTGTAGGGTAGCGGGAGCAGCATGACACCTCTGACAGGTGGGGTCAACCTCAGGGTACAGTCTGGTAAGTCTGCTTCTGCGGAGACGTAAACGGTGGAACACTTTCTCTCAGGTCTTATCAGGTAACCTCTTACCAATTCTTCTTCCCAAGCACCCTTCAGATCGTTAAGAGAGGGGCTACAGATATTTTGAGTCAGGCATAAAATGATTTAATCTTGCAGCTCTTCTACACTTTCAAAATCACACCGAATGGATTAAATCCTGATAATAAAATGATCCAATTTGTGGAGGTTTTGGCGCTCAAAAAAAGTATCCACTGATTGACAGACATCTCTTCCCCAGTGTTCGTCTATGGGAAAAAGTCTGTTTGAGCCCAATGGCGTCACAAAGAACTCGGGAGTTGTAATGCCGCTGTTTGGCCACTCCGAAAATTGGCTTCAAAGCCTGCCACGCTTCCTGGTCCAAACCATGTAACTACAACTTCCGGGTCGGTCACATGGTGCCACTGGACCCAAATTACTTTTTTCCCATGAACTTACATTGGGAAAGAGACGCCTGTAAATCAGTGTATACCTTTTTTTTGCACTATCGGGATTTGGTCCATTTGGTCTGATAACATTTTGAAAGTCTAGAGCAGCCAAGCAATTAAATCATTTTATCCCCTATTCATGACCCACCCTATTCTCCCTCTGATTGGCTAGTTTAGGCAAGAGGAGTGAGATTGGCAAAGGTTACAGTAAGAATGTCAGGCTAAGCCAATCAAGGCTTACCCTGGATAGGCAGAGACAGAGTAAGACACAGTAGGGCAGGTCATGCCTTCGCTATCCTAGGAGGTGCAAATTTGCGAACTTCAAGTGGTTGGCTCGGCCAGTGAAAGTTAGCCACTTGGCTGGTGGAATCTCTAGTGCACTTGCTCTGTGGGCCCAGTGATGCAGAAGATCTGTGTTAATTTACACTCAGGAAGTTTAGCTTTTTTGGCTGCATGTGCCTCTGAGCTACTTTTATAGAAATGAACAAGGCCCTGCATCAAACACTGTATCCAGTTCTCTTCATACATTCTCGGTTGGGTTCTAAGTGGTCACGAGTTGATTTAGAAGATAGGAAAACACAAGAAAAAACATTCCTGCAACACAAGTTCAGCTTATTTGTTCCTGACTTTTCCCAAATCTTTGCTGTTTCCTGTCCGAGAAGGGAATGTGATCATTTGGCTGAACTGCTCATATGTGATGAGGGGTCGTGATTAGGTAATTCCTCTGTGTGCAGTTTAATCGGTTTCCAGATATCAGGATCATGTTGCTGCTCCAGTGGAAAACTATTCAAACTATGTAAACAAACAGCTTCCTTTAGAAGTGGACATGTCCAACACAGTGTCTGACACTAAACAGAGGCTTTGGTTGTTTATTCTGCAGACAGTGTTTCACATGTAAGTGATTTCTCGCCATAACTAAAGAGGAAAATATTTTCTCTTCTTGGTTCCTACTGGTCCGTCCCCATGCAGAGTTTGAACGACGTCCATCAGCTCCTCAAATTTCCAGAAGAATAAATTAGAGATGGTGAAAGCAACAGAAAAGACAGAGGGGAACACATTAGCAGACTAAATTACTACCCATGCCTGAAATCTAGGTCAGGGAGAAGTGGCTGCATCTCTGTGCCTAAGCCAACAACTTTCCCTGTGTTTCCTTCATGTTTTATTCAGCGTGGCAACATAGGGCCTGTGACGTACAGAAGTCTCTCTCAGCAAAGCGAGCTGCGTAGGACTTCCACGCTGACAGCTGTCACTGCGATGAAATCTTTTTGCTGTTGCTGCCTTACAATATCTTTGTCTTCTGTTTTATTTTGTTTGTGAGTTTTCTGTAGAGGGGGGTTGTTTCAGTGGGCTACAACAGTCATTTCACGTCCCACTTACTGTTCAGCTTGCTTCTTCAGGTTGCGGCCAACAGTAACGTTACACATGGTGTATTTGTTCACATAAAAACGATGGATGAAATGGTAGTACTTTGTCGATTTCCTACTTCTCTTAATCCTTCATTTAAATATCTGCACGTTTATGTATTTATTCTCCTTTATTTTATTATTTTTTTCTCTTTGTCTGATGGAGCTACACGTTGGATGGAGCACCTTTAACTTATTGAATAATTACGCAGTTGCTTTTGGCTTGATGATGTGAGAAGTATTAATGTATCTAATACTCGTATGAACTTTTTCAAACTTTGTTCTTTCAAGTTGAAAAAACGCCCCTGGGGGGATTTTCCAACCACAGAAAAGTCCACAACACATTTTAAATCCTCTCCCACTTGATAAGTCGAGGATGATATTCGCATCCAGGCACTCGATCAATATCTCAGAGCTGACAAGCTGATGGTCACAGCAGATAAAACACATCCAGTCTTTATTGTGTACCTGTGACTCAGAGTGCTGTACTGCTCTTGCAGGACACTCCCCCCTCCATCGACCTTCATCATCACCTCAGACCTGGGTGACACTCCGAGATAAGGGTGTTAGGCTCTCCAGCTGTCATAGCTGGTGCTCACTCATTGTGTCATTGCATGGGCCGAGAGAGAAGAGTGAGACGAGGGGAGGGTTTGTTTGGAAATGTTTCCTTTTGACATTTCACCATTCAACACGCACTTCAAAAAGCTGGCAGTGGAGATGGAGCGTGGATGGTGCTTCTTCTCAACACAGAGCTGGAAATACGCAATACACACATGGGTCGTGCCATGGCATCTACCCAACTCACTCACATTTACATGGAGTAAAATTAGAACACAGTTTATGCGCTCCTGCGAGTCTAAAGCTGTCGTATATTCGCTGATTTATCTCACTTATTAAACCTGCACTGAGAGATATATTTTGCAACAGATTCCTGGGGAACATAAAACCATAACTTTTACTCACACATTGATCCACAGCATCAAAATACACCCTTTTTGCTTGTTGAAACATCCACTCAGGAGCCAATCCACTGAATTAATATTTGATGAGATGTTAATTTAATACTGTGTTCTGCACAAAATGCGATGCCTCACTGAGTGTGAATTCCCACTCTCCCTGTCCTTTCCTTTCCCTCCAGTGCTAATCAGATCAAAATATGGATTTCCTTTTTTCATGCACTATTCAAATTACCGCCTGTTGAAATCTCAGCAACGGTGGTGTCTGGGGACATGAAAACACTGAGTGAAGAGGTCACATGTTTACATGACAAATTTTCATAAGTAAAATGCTCCATGTGAACATGAATAATGAGAAACATGATTTCTGTTTCTGTGTTTTGGTGAATTTTTGTGACTTTTGAGTTTTGCAAATGGCTGTTTTTGTGAATTCCATTGTGTTTTGTGAACTGTTGTTTGTGTTTGGTAAATTGCTTTAATGTTTTTGCAATTTGCAAAACTGCAAATTGCAGTTGTGTTTTGTGATCTGCTTA